ATCCTCGCATCAGAATATTGAGGTTCGTAATAGGCTGCCAATATCCAGAAGTAGCCTTCAACCAATCTATCTCGAACATAAGGTAGCTTGGTAGATAGATCCAAATTCTTCCACCATCTAATTAAGTAGATACGTAAAACGTGAGATCATGGGAAGTATTTACAGCCTTGAGTAAAATGAAGTAGGTAAAAAYGAGATAAACTAGTTAGCAACAAGTTTGATAGCATTTCCATCATATCAAACGTTTAACATGGTGTTTTTTCATCTCTTCCCCGAGGTGGTAAATAACACCTTGGGAAAAATGGGTGGTTCCTCTAAWWAAAAAAACGATCATTTATACGTACTTGCTTATTTGGCTAAGCTCTTTCCTATGCAATGATTGGACCAAGTTGAAATCTAACTTGGCAAGCTTTAGCAAGTCCTCGTTATGAGAAGATTCATGCTCATAGATTGGTATGTAGCGCAACGCCTCAAGCATTGGCAACCTTTTTCGGAGAGGCTGTCGTAGTGCTTGTTGTATTTGTATCTTAAGAGAATCATCGTTCCCCACATGATTTTTGGCTATGTTTTCAAGTTCTGAAGTTGTAAATTCAATGGCAGCATCTAAAACTTCTTCTCCTTCCACCCTCAAGTATGCTGCTTCGTACAGAGAAAGCATGCCTTGGACATCGTTTCTTAAGGATTCCAGAAATTTTCCATTGTTGTCCATGTACTTCTTGAATATTCCTGCAATGGTAGGCATTGGTCGCATGTTACTTCTTTCTTTTTTACCAAAAAATAAGCTTGATATTCACAATAGAGACCCTGCAATCTTTTTGGAGGGCTTGATACATCCAAAGCTTTAGATTACAGTCTAAGATGAGGTAACGAAGCTACATGCATGTGAAGCAAATAAAAGGGATAAATCTAAACATTTAACAATCTAATCATCCAAACTAAATTACACACACTCACACCAAAACAACGGTCTTTAAACATGTTGATAAAAGACCCTAAACACATGTAAAATTGGGCCCTAAAATTCAAAATCTCACATTTAGGAAACTTAACATAATAATTAGATTCTATTAGTTTGAGAGAGATTAGTTAAATACCACTTGAAACATTGAACCCATGTTGTCGTAGGAGTCGAAACCAAAGTGAAGTGATTTGGAGGTTATCATTGATCCATTGATCCCCATATGTAACAAAGATATGGTTTAAGGATTCCTCAATTTCCTCCTCAAAATGATAAGCCACACCGAGACGTTGAACCGCATCAATAAGTTCCATTAGCTTCACATGTTGCATTGGTTTGGTTAAAGTTGTGATCACTAGCTCTTTTCTCACTTTCTCTCGAAGTTCTTTTGCTTGTTCCTCCTCCCAAGCTTGATCCTTTCTCTGCATGCCAAAATAAAACAACCAACTTAATATAACAAAAAGAGACTCAAATGATATGTTTTCAAACAAAACTTGCTTTTAATCACGAGAATAATGGTAATATAGACAGAAACCTCATCGTATGTGAGAAATTGATCGCCCCAAATGCTACGATGGAAGTTCACTGTGCTGCGGATAACCCCTTGTTTACACTCGTTATGATCGGTGGTCGAAGAACTGTATGAAACAGGAGCCATTGAATTCATGTTGATCTAAAGCTGATAAAGTAATGATGAATCAAGTACTAGTTAGCTCCAATTTGTATGAAGGAAAGCTTGGGCTACAAATATATATATATATAGAGAGAGAGAGAGAGAGAAAAAAAAAAGGAGGCCAAGCAAGATTCATTGCATGGTCCACGCAATACTCCTACGGCGGCTTCCAAATTCCTTAATCTCCAATGTTGAATAGAATTATAAAAAGGAAAATAAATAAAATAAAATGATTTAAATAATTTTAATTAATGAATTTGTCACCCATCTACTTGAGACTCTGACTACTACTCATGTTTGCCTTCTTATTTCGTTTTGACCAAA